AGAGGCAGGGCAAGAGGGCATCCTACTCCGCCAACCCTTCGTCACAGGAAAAACAGATGGTGCAAACAAACAAACAAAAACAACAACAGAAGCAGGCGGTGCTCTTGGTCAGCTTCCTAAAAAGACGAATCAAATGGCATTTTGCGTCTTTACCTAGGGACACGAAGCTTGAGGAGACCTTAGGACCAACCTTGAGAGCAGGGACACCAGGAGGGGAAGGGAGGGTGGGGGAGAAAGGGGGACCCAATCACAAGGATGGACATATAACCCCCTCCCAGGGGACAGACAACAGAAAAGTGGGTGAAGGGAGACTGGTCGGTGTAAGACATGGGAAAAAAATGATAAATGATCAAGGGTTCATGAGGAAGTGGGGAGGGGGAGGAACTGAGTTGATACCAAGGGCTCAAGTAGAAAGAAAATGTTTTGAGAATGATGATGGCGACATGTGTACAAATGTGCTTGACACAATGGATGGATGCATGGATTGTGATAAGAGCTGTAAGAGCCCCCAGTAAAATGGTTTTTTTAAAAAGAAAGAAAGCTTGAGGGGGAGTGAGCCAGGCCGTGTTTTGGTCAACAGCTGTCTTGCTGGACACTGGGCCTCTGCCTTTGATGGCTAGGGACTTGGTGGGCTGATACGAGGGGCCGCGTTGCCCAGGAGGGAGGGAGTCAGGCCCAAACCACTACCACTAGGTAGCATTGAGTAGATCCAACTCCTGGTAACCTCCTGCATTTCAGTTTCCCGGGGCTGGGTTTTGTTTTGTTTTGAGCAGTAAGGAGTCCATACTGGGAGAGCTTTTTAGAAGCGGATCACCAGGTTTTTCTTCTGAGGTGACTCGGAGTACACTTGAACTTCCAACGTTTTGGTCAGCAGCGGTAAAAACCATGAGAGGTGGTCCCTGACCGCTTCTAATTTCACAAGGGGGAGAGAAGAGTCTCTCCTCCTTCTCAGCATGGACTCCTAACTGCTGGACGCTTTGTCCTCCGTGCTCAGTGCTTTCTCCTAAGCAGCAGCACCCGGGCAGGGCTCCTCCCTGCCAGTCTGTAGAACGTTCCGGAGGCTGTACACCTCGGGCCACAGGCCGGCTCATGCTGTCCCTGCGGTGTCTGGTTAGCAGCCGATGCTGACCGAGTCTGGGACTCCTCCCTGCCATCGAGCCCTTTCCAACTTACAGCCACGCCCCCTCTAGCACAGGGTCGAACTGCCTGGGTGGATTTCGGAGACTAACTGGTTTGTTTGTTTTTAAGTTTTCCAATAACGTTTTAGTATGTCTTTGGTGAAAACGGCCAGAGCACATTAGGATTCTGTTTAACAGCTTTGAAAGGAAGGTTTCTGGTGAGAGCCAGGCTACCCTCTTCCCCATAGATGCCCCGTCTCACAGTTTCTGTTGTGTTGGTGAGACTGGCTCTTTACGGGAGGAGGAGACCTCCTGGTCCTCCCACGGAGCGGCTGGCTTCCACCTGCGGACCTTGCGGGTGCCAAGTACCCACGATGCCACCAGGGCTCCTAATCGCACCGAGGCGATCGAGGAATGCTAACACCACACTGCCCCGTGCCTCAGTTTCCCTGCCTACAAAGACACGAGCTCTGCTCCCACGGTTCTGCGAGGACAGTGAGTGGCGACTGTGTATGAGACCGTGCTGGGCGTGGAGAAGGGCTACACGCGTGTGAGCGAGTGTTACCGTGAGTCTGACAGCCATGCCGGGTCACAGGACAGCATTGCCCGGCCCTGCGCTGTCCTCACGGTCCATAGTGTGAGTGTCCCTTGTGCTAGCCCCGTGTGCGTCCATCTCGTGAGGGTTCCCTCTTGTGTCTGCTGCCCCTCCTTGAAGCCAGGATGATTCCCCACCTCCCCATGCCAAGCTGCTCCTTCCCTGGGTGGCACCCACAGCCTGCCTGGCTGCTGACCACAAGTTGGGGCTGGCGTCTACCCCTAAGTGCCTGGGGAGAATGTCTGGCAGCTGCTTCCGAAGACACTGTGGGGCAGACACATGTGGGGTCGGCCTGGGTCGGAGTCGATGCGTCGGCCACTGGCTATCCAGGAAGCCCAAGCTGGTCTGTGAACCATTAGCAGGGGCCTGTCTCACAGCGGGTATTCCTCCAGGGTTGAGAGCCCCCACCCCACCCCGGCCCCTGCCACATTCCCAGGCAAGCTGTTTTCACCCTCCTGGGGGAGATGCA